CTTTCTCACATAACGCACTGAAGCAGCCCCTGCATAGAGTGAATAATCCATTCTCGTTCCATCGATATCAACCAATTCAGCACCACCCTCATGGACAGCACCTGGTAACGTCGCACGTAAGAAGGTATACCTGTAAGCAACCTCCTAAGGTATAGTCCGGGGAACACGCCTAGAAATGGTATACCTTTAGTTAAGATATACCTTTAGAGTCTTCGTAATGCACTAAGAGGCAACGTTATCGGGAAACGCACACCAGTGATCTAATGTATTGTGACTTCTTTAATTCTTTAATGTCTTTAATTTTCTCCAAAAACTGTAAAGTAAAACCCAGTGAAAGTTGACACGGACAGAGTCATGTTCATCCTGAAGAACAATGTATTGAAATTTTCATGTTAACGCTGAAGGAAGTTTAATAATGGCTGTATAAATATCAAGAAATGGCCAATATAATAATGCATTTTGTCAGACTTTGACTTTAATTTCCTCGCAAAATCTACAGTAAAACCCAATGAACTCTGAAGGAATTTGAATAATGCCTGTATAAATGTCATGGAGTTCTACAATGCATTGTGACAGACTTTGCCATTCATTTTCTCTAAAATTCTACAGTAAAATCTCGTGAAAGTTGACACAGACAGAGTCTTGGGCATTCTGAAGAAGTATGAATAGAAATGTTCATGTTAACTCTGAAGGAATTTTAATAATGCCTGTATAAATGTCAAGGAATGGTCAGTGCTATGCATTGTGACAGACTTTCCCTTTCATTTTCTGTAAAATTCTAAAGTAAAATCCAGTGAAAGTTGACATAGACAGAGACTTGGGCATCCTGAAGAAGAATGAATTGAAATTTTCATGTTAACTCTAAAGGAATTTTAATAATGCCTGCAGACATATCAAGAAATGGTCAATAATATAATGCATTTTGTCAGACTTTGCCTTTAATTTTCTCCCAAATTCTACAGTAAAACCCAGTGAAAGTTGACATGGACATAGTCTTGGGCGTTCTGAAGAAGAATGAATTGAAATTTTCATGTTAACTCCGGAGCAATTTTAATAATGCCAGTAGAAAAAGCAGGAATTGATCAGTGCTATAATGCATTGTGACAGACTTTTCCTTTCATTTTCTGCAAAATTCTACAGTCAAATCCAGTGAAAGTTGACATAGACATAGTCTTGGGCATTCTGAAGAAGAATGAATAGAATTTTTCACGTTAACTCTGTAGGAACTTGAATAATGCCTGTGTAAATGTCAAGGAGTGCTATAATGCATTGTGACAGATTTTGCCATTCATTTTCTCTAAAATTCTACAGTAAAACCTCATGAAAGTTGACACAGACAGAGTCTTGGGCATTCTGAAGAAGTATGAATATACATTTTCATGTTAACTCTGAAGGAATTTGAATAATGCCTGTGTAAATGTCAAGGAGTGCTATAATGCATGGTGACAGACTTTGAATTTAATTTTCTTCAAAATTCGACAGTAAAACCAAGGTAAATTTGACAGATAGAGAGACATGGTCGTTCTGAAAAAGAATTGATTGAAATTTTCGTTAACTCTGAAGGAATTTGAATAATGCATGTAGAAAAAAGTAGGAAATATCAGTGTTATAATGTATTTTAACAGACTTTATTTTTGTGGAAAACTCCACAGTATAATATTCGAACATAATATAAATGTATCTTTTATAATGTCCAATATTAATATGCTTGTTAATAGTTTTTTTCCTGTTTTTGGGCACATTTAATTAATAACCGCTTTGAGCATCCGTACCATAATACCACAAATAGACGTGCAGCAGAATCCAGGTGGCGGCTGGCTTGACCGGGTGTTCACAGATGGTGGCTCACTTGACCGCGGTTCATATATTGCAGAGTATTAATTTACATTTAACCAGATTAATATGGAGAGGCACTCTCATATAGACCTTCGTTTATGTGTTTTTGACTTTCACAGCACGGTACACGACATGAGAACAGTTCGCTATTTAGGTTTGTACGTTAGCATGGACTCACTAACTTTAACGCTAACGTTAGCTAATTTTAGCCAGACATACCTTGCTGAAGCACAAGATGACATTAATGTTCTGCTTGAGCAGATGAAAAGTGTAACTTAATGAGCGTATGACAATCAGAAAATGAACGTTTTCATCTTTATTGTGATTGGGGTTGAATGCTTAGGGACATTTTGCTCTGTTTTGGTTGGATTTAGGAAATGGAATAAAATAAATTCCATTGCTTATCCTCTCAGGATACCTGGAATCACTGTTACAAGTACCCTAGGCACATCGTTTTTCCATTTTCGTATCATAAACACCATTAAACCGATGCGAGCTTCGGATCTTCCAATGTTTCTCTATGGCGTTGAAACCTACAGATGTCTGAGTTCCGCTCCTCGTGCAACTGATTCTCGACTGCCATTAGCTCATCTGCATTCGAGGGGAGGGGCTTACCGATAGGTCAATTATATGGACAGAGAAGGGTATAACTGCAGCCTGCAAATGGGGGAGGGAACTCCAAAACAGGGTGGGAGCTCCACAATAGGGCGCGGCTTCCTCCCATTGACAGACAGGCACATGACACGCATGCGCAATTTTTCCCCCCAATCCACTTCAGTGCAAACTCTGCCCCACAGCTGATTCTAAAGATTTTATTGGTTGTGTCAATTAAAGTGTTGATTTCCTACACTTTGCTACAAAATATGCTAACCCCTAAACCTACCCCACACCTGACCCTAACCTTAACCAGTGAAATTGACTGCACGGCGGGATTGGCGCTGAATAGCGTGGTAAAGAAAGTTGCAGTTCAGGAGATAAGAAGGGCATATGACATTAGAACAACACAATTTATTCATTTATTCACCTGACTTAATTTAAATTTTTGGGTGAAATATGCTTTAAACAATCCCTTAAAGTATGTGGTTTAGATTCCTTTTATTTATGACATATTTATGTGTCATTTATGTCATATTTTTATGTCACTCCTATTTTAAAATAAAGTATTGTTTCATCAATCAGGTTCTTTCTGTTTATTGCACATTGCTCTATTAATACAGGTCTGTTTTACTCATGGCCACAAGATAAGGATTATTATGCTTATTTTGACGAAATTATCAAGGTATAAGGCCACAAGATAAGGATTATTATGCTTATTTTGACGAAATTATCAAGGTACAAGATATATTATCACATTCCCATAAGTTAATATGATATGGTCACAACAAAATTTAGCAAACCAAACCTGTCCCTTCCAAGGCTCCATAGCAATGCATATAGCATTTGGTAAATGGCAATCTATCTGATGTGTTCAAAAACAAACCTGTGGAAAACAGCAAAACAGTCATGACAGACAGAGGTGTGGTTGTCGAATGGGAAGAGAATGTCACCCTCTTTACACAATTCACACATGAAGCCTTTGGCCTGGCATTTCTGATGGTACAAAGACAGAGAGAGTTAAGACAAAAAAAAAAGACGCTGGCACAGTAGCACACTCACACATAGCTAAACTAATTTTACCTTGGAGGCTGCTTACTTTCAAGGGGTCATACCATGATCACATTAGACATATAATTCAGAGTTGAGCTGAAATTGCTGGGGTGGTTTGTTTTACAGGTGACACTTTAGTATAGGAACCAATTCTCACTATTATCTAGGTGCTTATTGGCATGCCTATTAATAACATATTGGCTGTTTATTAGTACTTATAAAGCGCATATTCTGCATGACCATATTCTACATCCCTAATCCTACCCAATACCTAAACTTAACAACTACCTTACTAACTAGTAATAAGCAGCAAATAAGGCGTTTATTGAGGCAAAAGTCATAGTTAATGGTTTGTTAATAGCGAGAATTGGACCTTAAAATAAAGTATGACCGTTTTACACAACACAAACACTGAAAATGATAAGTTTCTAGTCATGAAATATTTTAGGACTAATATATATATATATAGATATTTACACACACACACACACACACACACACACATATGTATGTCCTATACCCACAAACCTACCTCACAGTCCAGTTTAATATGTTTGGCAAAAGTTGTGTGAATTTCAGTAAGGGAACAGCTGAGACGCCCGCTGGAGGTGTCAATCAGATCCTGTAGGCTGTACATGTCGTCATTCTCCACAAAGTGCTGGCGATCTTGAAGCTGTGACATTACAATTATACCATATGTTATTTTAAAATCCACCATCTTTACCCTAATCCTACCTGAATGATAATTTATTTAGAGTTCAAAAATTCAAGTAGTTCATACAGTACACAAGATCACAGATAATTAACACAGACAAAGAAACATCTTGGTTATGTATGTAACCCTTGTTCCCTGATGGAGGGAATGGAGACGTTATGTCGTGACAACATAGGGGTATTGGGAGCCCAGATTCTCTATGATTAAGAGAAAATGCCAATGAAATTTGGCTAGTGGATTTTGCATGCTGAGCCACTCAATGTGCATATGGGTATAAATAGGCGACAGGTGCATCTACTCATCAGGTTTTATGCTGAGGAGCCGAGAACGTGTCCCTGGCTACCAGCGATGGTTTCGAGGTTGTGGCATAACGTCTCCGTTCCCTCCAACAGAGAATGAGGGTTACGTACGTAACCAAGATGTTCCCTTTCTGTCGTTCACTACGACTTATGTTAAGCACAAATGTTGGCAAGCAGCAGCATGTCAGACAAATTTAACGCAAAGTTCGTAACCTTCCCAAAGCCCCAGCGCAAATACGCTGACCTTGGTGCCCAAAGGGACCAGAGGTGAGTACATTGCTTCTGGAGATAGTCATGCCGCTGTTCCTGAACACAGAAATCTTTTCCAGAAGAGACTGACAGAACGTGTCTGTCAAGGGAAGACACGGGTTCACCAAGAGGGAAACCTTACCGTGGAAGAATACACATATGGGATTCGCCCACAGGTAATCAAGCCATATGGACAACTGGGCTGACCTGGGACCCGGGCATGCTAACACGATAATGGGCCTGGTGTCAGATTGTCCCTCGAGTCTGACTGCCGGGGGTGCTGGAGGATGCTTGACTAGGGTTCGCCGTCAGGGAACTCGACTGGGAGAGAAAGGCTCTCGCATCCCCGTGTGAGGGGGAATGGCGCAGCAAGCATGTCAACGGCCGGTCCTTCCCGCCAATTACCTATTACCCAACACACAGGAAGAAACCGGCTCGACGCAGAGACTGTTCGATGTCGCCCAGCCCGCAGCTCTACAGGTGTCTGCCAGAGAGTCGCCGTGCACCCATGCATATCAGGAGGCAACACTCCGGGTGGAGTGAGCCCTCAACCCTAGGGGGCATGGCTCGCCTTGGGACTGGTACAGTGGGCCAACCTCTGCTTGGAGACAGCCTTCCCTTTCTGCTGACCTCCGTAGCAGACAAAGAGTTTCTGGGTGCAGTCCACGTATATGCAAAGCACTCTTACGGGACACAGCAACTCTAGGGCTGGGTCTGCCTCTTCCGGGGGCAGTGCTTGCAGGTTCACCACCTGATCGTGGAAAGGTGTGGTGGGAACCTTGGGCACGTATCCAGGCCAGCCTGAACACAAGGCACTCTTCGCTCACCGAAAATGCTCACAGAGGGTCCCCCGACCCTCTTGATGGAAGTAAACATGGTCAGGAGCGCTGTCTTAGCAAACAGGAATTTTAACTCAACTGACTCCAGCGGCTCAAAGGGATCTCTCTGAAGGCCAGCCAGGATGGTAGAGAGGTCTCAGGAGGGCACCAGGGGTGGCCTAGGAGGATTCAACCTTCTGGCACCCCTCAGGAACCTAACGATGAGATCGTGCTTTCCCAGGGACTGGCCGTCCACTGCATCATGATGTGCTGCGATAGCATAATAATAAGAATAAGAATAAGTATCACTTTTTTATTTTTTATTTCTCCTCTTTCCTATTACTTGTTTCGCTTCTGTTTCAATTTTTATAACCATTTCTTACTATGTGTAAGTAAGTTGTTGTGTTATTTTTTAGGATTACTGATAAACTACTGTCATTTGATTTGTATTATTTGTATTTGTCTGCAGGAAAGAAAGTGTTACTCTAATCATGCATCTTCGGAGGTCTTCTCGGCGAGAAGAACACCAGTTCGTGAACAGACTCCACTTCAGAGTGTAGGCTTACCTCGTAGAGGGAGCTCTAGCCTGAGTGATGGTGTCTACCACCGCCGTTGGCAGATCACTTAAGTCTGCCTCGTCCCGTCCAGGAGCCACATGTGGAGGTTCTAAAGATCAGGACGCGGGTGCCATAGGGTTATGTGTCCCTGAGAAAGAAGGTCCTTCCACAGGTGGATGCGCCAGGGAGGGGCTGTTGCGAGGAGTGTGAGTTCCGAAAACCAGGTCCGGATGGGCCAGTAAGGCGCAACCAGCAAGACCTACCAGCAAGACCTTGCAGTGTTTTTGCGAGGAGGCTCACTGGGGGAAACGCATACTTGCGTAGAGCCCGAGGCCAGCTGTGTACCAGTTTGTCCGTGCCAAGGGGGGCCTCGGTCAGGGAGTAATACAGTTGGCAGTGAGAGGACTCGTGGGAAGCAAACAGGTCTAACCTGGGGTTCCCCGAATCGACTCCAAATCAGCTGGACTGTCTGGGGATGGAGTCGCCATTCTCCAGGGAACGTGAGCTGTCGTGACAGTGCATCAGCTGCACAATTGAGCTCCCCTGGAATGTGGACGGTGCGCAGAAATTTGAGACTCGTCTGACTCCAGAGGAGGAGATGGTGGGCGAGTTGTGACATGCGACATGATCGTAGACCTCCCTGTCGGTTGATGTATGAAACAGTTGAAGTGTTGTCCATGTGAACAAACACGTGATTGTCTTGCAGCAGTGGCCGGAATTGCCGCAAGACTAGATGCACTGCCAGCAACTCCAGGCAGTTGATGTGCCAAAGCAGTCGAGGCCCTGTCCAGAGCCCCGAGGCTGCCTGCCCGTTGCATGTTGTAATAACTTGGATTACTTAATTGTATAAGGGGAATTAATTATTATTAATTCATTCGGCATAATAGTAGTGTCCGTATATGATAGAAATCCCTACAATGTGGTGCCAAGCCCATACTGGAGGCATCCGTCATGACAACGACATCCCGGGACACTTGTTCTAAGGGCACTCCGGCCCATAGAAAGGCAAGGTCTGTCCAGGGGCTGAATGTGCGGTGACACGTCAGCGTGATGGTCACACGAAGTGTACCGCAGTGCCATGCCCATCTCGGGACTCGGGAGTGTAACCAGTGCTGAAGTGGTCTCATATGAAGCAATCTGAGCGGCGTGACTGTGGCTGTGGATGCCATATGCCCCAGGAGCCTCTGAAAGTGTTTCAGTGGTACCACTGTCCTGCCTCTGAAGGAACTCAGGCAGTTCAGCACGGACTGGGCGCTCGTTGGTGAGACGCGCTGTCATACCCACTGAGTCTAACTTCATACCGAGAAAAGAGATTCTCTGAACAGGGGAGAGCTTGCTCTTTTCCCAGTTGACCCGAAGCCCCAACTGGCTGAAGTGCCGGAGCACCAGGTCCCTGTGATCGCACAGCTGCTCTTGCGACTGGGCCATGATGAGCCAGTCATCGAGACAGTCGAGGATCCTGATGCCCACTTCCTGTAACGGGGCGAGGGCACCCTCGACCTTCATAAAGACACGGAGGGACAGGGACAGCCCGAAGGGGAGGACCCTGTACTACCATGCCTGACCATCGAACACAAACGGTAGGAACGGCCTGTGTCGAGGAAGGATCGAGACATGAAAGTACACGTCCTTCAGGTTGACCACTGCAAACCAATCCTGGGGCTGGATGCATCTGATGATGCACTTCTGCGTCAACATCTTGAACAGGAGCTTGTTGAGGGCCCGATTCAAGACTCGCAGATCCAGAATTGGTCGAAGGCCACCGCATTTCTTGGACATGATATAGTAAGGGCTGTAAAACCCAGACTCCATCTCAGCTGGAAGGACAGGCTCGGTTGCATCCTTCGCCAATAGGACAGCAATCTCTTCACGCAAGACAAGGGCATCTCGGACTGCCACCGAAGTCTCGAGGACGCCGCTGAACCTGGGGATCACCTGGCAAACTGAATTGGGTAGCCGAGTCGGACTGTCCGAATGAGCCAGCGGGTTGGTTTGGGCAGCGCAAGCCACACTCCCAAACTGTGCGAGTGGCACCAAAGGGACAATCGTCATACCCGCAGTGGTGTAGCGATGGGAAGTCGTGCTGGATGGGCCCCGTGGAAAGTCGTGCTGGGAGTCCCCTTCAGGGACACGAGGAGCCCTGCCGGAGATGCGTGGGGAGGTGTTGCGTCCCCAAACAGCAATCTTTTGGCTGCTGGCGATAGGGGGCATCACGGGCGAGAGTGAGGAGGCAGTGCATTGCTCACTGTCAACCCAAGGGCCTGATGGCCCAGAGCAGGGCTGTACGTTAACTTTTTTTTCACATAGCACTGGTGCTACAGAGGTTGAAAGTTTTGTAGCACAGGCCAAAAAGTTGTAGCACAAGTATAAAACATCGTTATTATGTCTGAAAACAAACACAAGTAATGGAGTTCATCACTTAAACAGGCACTGATGTTCCATACAGAGCACAAAAAATACAAACCATCACAAAAATTGTTTTTAGACAAAGTTTTCTTAATTTGCTAAAAATGGAAGAGTGCAGAAACATAACACCTCTTACACCTTAACAAAATATAAAATAAAAAAGAATGGCAGACATTTAGGCCAAAGTGAGCAAAGATAAAAATCTTTGTCATTATTTTATCTTTGTTATTAGAAAATAAGAACAAAGATATACATTACAAATACACATAATATACAAATAAAACAAACAGTGCTTCATTTTTCAGGTACAGTATTTAGCAGTAACATTCAAGAAATTGAACTAATAAATATTAAAATAAAATACTATATACACTATATACATCAATTATCCTTTTTTTCAAAGCACCTGACTGATGATAAGTTCATCAGTCAAGAGCAGTGAGCAGATTTTTTCTGTGTTTTGTTGTTTTATTAACATTAAAAGAATAGTTCACCAAAAATGAGAGGAAAAGGAAACTGCTCTTTCTTTGAAAATGTGGGTACCACTTGCCCTTGTGCCAGTGGTGGAACAGAAACAAAACAAAACCAAGGATTCTACGCCTGGCCCTCCTCCGGGGGAAGGAGCGGTG